AAACCGAAAATTGACTAATCATTATGCAAATTAGGTAATTAGTATCCACGGATTATTACCAAAAACTAATCAAAACCTAGCATTAGTTCAGAGCATCTATGTACCAAGTTTCATCAAAATCCAATGAGTGGTTGTTTAGATATCAGTGGAACAGTCATGGAACCACTAAAAAATAGCTAATTATCATGCAAATTAGGTAATTAATATGCACGGATTTTTACCAAAAATTAATCAAATCTGCGCATATGTTCAGAGCATCTATGTACCAAGTTTCATCAAAATCCAATGAGTGGTTCTTTAGATATCAGTGGAACAGTCATAGAACAGCTAAAAATTAGCTAATTATCATGCAAATTAGGTAATTAACGAGCATGGATTTTTACCAAAACCTAATCAAATCTGCGCATTGGCCCAGAGCATCTATGCACCAAGTTTCATCAAAAACCAATGTATGGTTCTTGAGATAGCAGTGGAACAGTCGGACACACATACACACATACACACATACACACATACACACATACACACATACACACATACAGACACACTAACTGCAAAGACTCCCATTTTGTGCTTCGCACATGGGAGTCAAAAATTTAGATGAATTTAAACGAACTTTATAAGGGACGGTGTATTGCGTAATTTTCTGCAGTCGGGAATACCCAATACCCAATACAATGCCAGCACACACCGTAATCAGATATGCAAATAAGACAGATTGGCACCAATCTTACGCATTGGGTGGGTTCGACTTAATATATGCATGTCTCATAATTGTTTATTATATTATAGAGATCTGCAACATTGGAATCACTGGTTTGGTGTTACTCACGTAGTTCAACATGGACGTACAAGTTCCCCCAAATGAACCATTGAAGATTCAAAAAATTATCCAAACATTCCAGTTGATACCACACCAAGAAGGAGGATATTTCAGAGAAACATATCGATCGGGTGCTAAACCCATGGCGTCACATGGACTAACTGACGAGAGTGGCGATGTGATGATACCCGGTGGAGACAGAAACTCAGTGCGTAATGTCTGCACATCCATAATCTATTTAATGACGAAGAATTCTCCTATAGCTTTCCTACATCAAAATAAATCCGATATTGTGAGGTATCACCAGGGTGGTGGGACGGTTCTGGTTTATACAGTTTCACCTGACGGCAGACTTCATCAGCATAGACTGGGCATGGATTTCAATGCGGGAGATGTTCTACAATTGGTGACTCCCGGTGGCTTCTGGGAAGCCTTGGAGCTTGTTGGTGGTGACTGGGCTTTACAAGGGGAAGCTGTGGCCCCTGGGTTCGACTACCGTGACATGACTCTAGGAACAAAGACAACACTTTTACAGTTTTCTGAGGAAATTAGAGATATTTTACAATTTTACATTCACTGTTAAACAGTTGAGTACAATGACAGCGCCTTGATTTCGCAAACTCAGGACAGTATGAGATTGTGTTTTATTGCTAGAGATATGGTACAAATGTGAATACACGAAAGAAAATACATTCTGTCTATACAAATACTTGTTCAGAGGATAATTTAACATTATTTTACCCCATTACCATTTCGCTTAACTTATTTACACTTGGTATTCAAATGACACATGGTTAGTAACTGATTTACGGCATTTTGTTTGTCTTTCACAAGTGTTCTGCTTGTTTCTTAGATATATTTTTTTTCAAATTTGGCATCAATACTAGATGTACTGAATTGAATGTTTTTGTTTTTTAGAATAAAAATTTAGCCGATAAATAAAAGAAAAACATCATCAAATTTGAACATGTCATCAACTGTCACTCAGGCATTCCTGTGCCAATTTCGTTCAACTTGGTATGAGCATCACTCATTGTGAATCACTGGTGCAAGTTTGTTTCGTTCCAACAGGTGACTTTTTGACAAAAGAGGAACAAAAATCAACATTCGAACATGAAAAGTTGCTTAGGCATGGCTAGACCGATTTCAATGCAACCATATAACCACAGTGTTTTGCATTGTTTGTAATAATCTAATTCCATCATTTTCTTTCAATAACACAGATGTCATGATTTATTTCTATGTGTCTAGAGATGGATCACTGATGTTAATAGCTGGTTTATATCATTCAACACCTTACCATAACCTGTCATCATTTAGGTTTATACAAGGTCCTTAACAGAACTTGAATTAGTGATTGGAACTAAATCTGACAGTTTGGTATGTGTAGTTTCTTAATATAGCGGACAATTAATCAATATATATGACATGTTAAGTACTTCGAGTGACTTCTATGAGTAGAATGTTTGGAGGCTACGCCTTAAACTTTTAAACTCCCCTGTAAGGTTTGAGAAGTGAATAAAGCGAGTCTTAGTCTGTATTGGCGAGCTCACCACGAGACACACAGTCTTGAGAGAGTCCTAGCGGAGTTCTGGACAAGTCGGCGAGTCTTGGCGAGCTCTCCACCGGGCGACTGAGACGAGAAGTTGACACAGATCCGCTTAATGCATGGGTGGCGGCACAACATTTTGCATGAGGGAGGAGATCTGCTCACCATCCTTCGCGCCAAAGACGTGACCTTACTAGGTGGTCCGGTCCCCCTTAAAAACATGAAATTTAGACCCTCTGAAACGCTATTTCCTGCATTTTGAGAGACAATTTTTTCTGACACAACGGGTTTCAGCTTTATATGAGGGGGCGACGCAGTTTGCTATATACATTTGACAAGAAATTAAGCAAATAAATTTAATTTGTGTTAGGATAGTCTATAAAATAATATACAGCAAAAATACGTCGATTTATAAAATATTTAGTTCCGGACAAAAATGAAATTGGAAATGTTGTGTAATCAATTCGAAACAATATACATTTTTCACGATCATCAAATCGAAGTTTTGAAAGAATGATGTTTTGAGTATTTGACAGGTATGAACTACGATTAGTTCTGTGAAAACAGCATTTCTTGTTGTTTTCCTGATTCTACAGTCACTTAATCTTAGAAAAAGATTAATCATTTAGGGTGTATGCTATGATAAGAATTTGCCATCTTGATATAAAGTTAAACTGTGCCATTTTGAATCTTTTCTGAGGGACAAAACATTCTGATTTTGTTCAATGCCGTATTATCGGCTCACGTAACTTTTCCCGCCATATTGAATATTCCGCAACAGAGCAAACACAGCAAAACACCATACATACCATACATAAATAAAGAACTACTGAAGACATTGTCAATTAGCGTTTATGTTTAATGGGCATTACTATTTTCAAAGTTTATTATTATTTCGATGTCATCTTAGATTTCTTTCAAACATCAATGATTTTTTCATTGATGCCACATTTATCCGATTGTTTTGAAATTTATCATGTCACATCTCTATACTGAACTTCGATTCTTCAGACAGCAAATATATCGAATACATCACGCGATTCGGCCACGATCTAAGATTTACGACCAAAAATGAATATTTGATTTTTATGAATGCTTTCACTAATTAATATAAAAATGTGCATACCAATGGCCCAAGATTCTTAAGAGAATAAATTTATAATTTTGCATATTTCTGATAAGTAGCAAGTTCGGCCGCCATATTGGATTTCCAGAAATAATGTCAAGCTGTTGTTATCGTTAGTTTACTGAGAGGAAGATAACCTGCAGTAGAAGAAAGTATATGTAATCATAATATGAAACTGTGACATGCTCGCATGGACAGTCCCCTGAGAAGTAATCAATCATACTACTGCTGATGAGACAACGCTGAAGTGTTATTTAAAGCGGAGGGGTTGTCACCTGCGCATGCGCCTGTGCATGCGTTTTAATATTTGTTATCACTGATAGATTCTACTTTCATCACCTGCTGATGTAGGCCCTCATCCAGAGTAAACCCCAGACCTTGCAAAATACTTTCAATTAAATTGAAGCAGCCAATATACGCCAGTTGTTTCAATAATGCCATGTACAACTTGTTAAATTGTTGTATTTTATTTTATTTTGTTTTTTATTTTAATTTTATAACCTTTTTAGTAACAACAAATCACAAGAATTGATCCGATTTCCAATAACCAACCATCACGTCATTGGTCAATTTATCGATCCACTTGTATAGTAATTGTACTGACATGAATAAGTGTATATCTCATTGTATGTCATATTGTTGTAATACGAAATGGTTCAAATGCAGTTATCGAATCCAATGTTATATGTTCACTGGTCTTGTGACATTTACTGCCTTTTGTTATCAGCAACACGCCCTAACTATTTACGAGTTAATTGAGTAAACATTGGCGTTTCGTACAGTATGCAGTCATAATTTGTGAAGCTACTTCCTGCTACCGTTTCCCCTGCAGAGTTTAGACACGAAATAGGTAAAAATGCATATATTCTTAATGTAGTCTTTGCATAATTCCACTTTTGTGTAAGACAGTTTCTCATTTCTTCTATTAGCATCTTGTAAATGCATGCGTGACAGCGAAGAACCATTTCTGATTTACACTGTTCAGTGTCATTATGTTGTGTTTAGCAATTCTTTATTTCACACCAAATTCATACGTTTGATGAGAATATTCTATGTTAGCGTAAGCTATGTTTGGCATCAAATCAACCACTGATTATTGTGTGGCTGGGACAACCAAAAATACATTAAAGCACATAAACTAAAAAACATGGTTTTGGGGGGCGTTTGCTTTGTTCATTTCTTTTAAATCTTGTTTGTTTATGAACATTGCAAATAACTAACAAATATATCGATGACATTTAGGACATTATATATCACAAAACACATCGATGCGTTCCGTTTTAAATCGTGCTGTCAATTTACATTCCAAGTTAAAGTTAAGCTATTGCTGTGTTCCATTGTACATGTGTATATAACATTGACCGGGTGTAAATTTACAGTCATGGCCATCGATGTAACAATAAATATTCTCACTTATATTTCTCTTCTTTAGGTCATTGATGCACTTAGTGACCAACCAGGATAGCAAAATAACAGTCATTTATATCAACATATATTAATATTCAGAAAATAATTTGTCTCTATTTTATTATAAGTGAATGAATGAATAAATTAGTAATTTTATTCCTGTTTTATTTAGCAAGGAAAGTATTATATATGTGTGTGTGTGTGTGATACAATGTTGATATATTGGGTGCTTGAGGTCAGTCAATTTTGATCCTAGCAGAAGATCACGTGACTTTGTTACATTGGTATTTTGAATGTTTTATGCTGCCGGTATGTGCATGAGACCCTCTCCACCATGGAGCATGTACCAACAGGGAATACTTATTGTAAGGGTATCATATGATGGTTAATGGATATGAATATTATTAACTATCCAAAACGCAATGGAAAGTATAGAAATTGCAAAACACATTTTGCTGTAAGCAGTTATAGTTTATAGTATATGAATTTCGGAATATATAGAAAATCTCTAATAAACACAGACGACTCAATACAGCTGAAGTAAGCCGTATCTAAGCATAATCAATTGTATAGCCCGGAATTTACTGGTTTATTGCATTAAACGTTCATTTGAATGAATGATTAAGGCCAATTTATAAGTTAGGTGACAAACCGACTTCCTCAATCGTTGATTCTCCATTTATATAGTAGAACTGCCATGCCGTCAAATTGTAAACTTTGGTCCTTGGCGACTGTGTAACAAAGACAATTTATAAGGCATATGTCACATTTACGAGAGTCATAGTAATACAAACATGTTGACAATAACAGAATAAAAACCTCTACATTGTAAATACCTATGATGCTGAAATGTTCGTGTTGCGGACATGGAGTTACGAACATCGAGTTACGAAAACATTGAGTTACAAAAATGACCATGCCAATAGTTTAGAAACCACGTCCACTTCTCAAAAGCCACGCCCAAATTGTAACTCGATTTTCGATTAACAGTTAACATAACTTGTTTTTGTTAAATTTCCACATTAAGGATGTAGTAGAGGTTTTTTCTTGAAAATATCAAATTTACTTTTCTTTCCATATTCTCTTATACGAATATATGAAGCATGCATTTAACTAGAAAAAACAATTGTAGAGATGGTTTAGGAGAGTAATACATTTTGAATAAATCTGAGATACAGTGTGTTTTATATTTTTTGTGATTTTTCAGGCTTAAGTAAACATCGGTATTTGGGGTTAGTCAGGAGAGTTGATCTCGACTCCCAGCTGCTCCACGGTGATTTTTGGCATAGGTATTCTCTGATAGCTGCTAATGAAATCTGGCAATGATAGTTTGTCTACCACTTTGACTTTAGAAAATACAACACAACTCTCCCCTATGTGAACTCCGGAACAGGGAACCATATTTTAAAACAACGTTGACGATGTTTTTTAAAAAGCGGTATGAGGTAAAAATCTAGGTCACTCAACAGTAGACGAACTGTGAAATTAAATTTAAACTTTCTATAGTATCTCTGAATT